GATCCAATCCTCTGGTGAGATTTGCAGAGGAGAGAAGGGTCTCTGCAAGGCTGCAGCAGGTTGAGAGCAGGGTTTTGCTCAGTTGGCCCTTATAGGATGGCAGATGGGGTCCTCACTAGGCAGAGTTGGGGTCAGGCAGGAGGGGGCTCCCTGTGGCCCCCAGCTCACCTACTCTACAGCTATATATGATGGGGAAATACCTACCTGGGTCTCAGTCTCCCAGCCACCAACAGCAGGGCTCCCCATGTGGGATCATTTGAATTGCTCCTGTGTTCTCTGGCTGCCACCTGGGACACTGCTGTACATGTACTCTCTTCCTGCCAAACTCTGTTATCCGAACATGCCTTGGGGGTTTCTGCTTCTCCTTAACTGATTCCTCTCCTGTGGGTTCTCCCTACTTCCTGATTTTCTAAACTTCCTCCAGACTTCCTACTTCATAGCAATTAAACCTGGCTTCTGGACCACTTATTAATCAAATACTCCTAAGGAGATATTTGGTGTGAAAGCCTTATCTTCCCAACTAGTTTGTAAGTTCTTAAAAGAGCCGAGCCATTTGTGTCCTCCCAGGGCCTCATACAGAACCTAGCACTGTGGGATTAATAAAGTCTCGTTTGTTGGGAAAGGAGCACTGTGTGTTCATCACCAGCTGTGGGTTTTCATCACCCAATATCCCTAATTTCCATTTAGGCGAGTTTTAGACAGGCCTTGCTCTGGTTCCTGATCCCACCTGGCCTTGGTCACAGTGATTTGGCATTGCCCACTTCCTTGAAGCTTCTGACACCTCTCCGTGGACTGAAAATTCGCTTTGTGAAAATGGCACTTTTTTCCCCCAGACTCTCCCTTTGATCTTTGTGGAAGATACTTTTATTACAATGTCCAAACTTTTCATTTATTTTAAAGATTCCAATTCTTTTCCCATTTTACAGGCTAATTCAAAAATTTAATAGATCTTGAATTCCCTTCCAGGAAGGATGGGACAGAGAACTAATGGAGAGCACCCCGGCGTGCCCTTCCAGGACACCAGGACAGGCTTAAGTGGGAAATGAATCGTGGCCTGCGTGAGACCAAGTTCAGGTCACGTTCTGTTAGGCTGCATGCACTGCTTTCCTCCAGCCTGTCTGGTTCTGTTGTCTGGTTAGTTGGTTTTTGCCTCCACATGGCTGTCCTGACCCTTGACCACTTTACCTGACCTCTAAAAATGACTTTCTTTTTGAGCGTCTGATAAGGTTACTTGTATACAGAGGGCAGGTGCAGCTGCCTGAGGCTCTTTCTAAACTGCTTAATGTGTTTCATTGTAATTAATATTATTCCCAATGATCCCCAACCTCACAGTTGTTTATAAATCTTAAAGTCAGCACATAGCCCCAAGTGCCTTCAGACCCTTTCTTGGGTTAGTAATGGATCGGAGAGGGTATACCCAGTTACAGACTTGGGTCATTTGCCATGATTTTCTGGTTCTCTCTCACCTTGAGTCTATGGACTTTTTCTGTCGCTCTCTGGAAGTTTCTTGTAATTCATCCCCATTGGCTTGTTTTTCTTTCCTGGAGTTTTGTTTTTTTATTAGAAAACTACAGAGACTAAAAAAATAAATAATAATAATTAAAACTACAGAGAAACACAAAACAGAACAAATACCCCTGTACTTTCCAAGTTTTGTTATGTAAGTTTTAATCAAAGAAAATACATTACAGATAAATTGGAAGCTCATCTTATTCATTTCCCAGGCCTTTCCCCTCCTTCCCCAGAGGCAGCCACTGTGATGAATTCAAAGTGGGCAGCCTTCCGGTTTGTTTTACTAAAAAATATACTGGGGTTTTTTGGGTTTTTTTTTTTTTTTTTTTTTGAGAATGTTTTATGAGTTCATTTGAGCCAAACTGACGATATATGCCAAGGATCATCTCAAATGCTTTCCAGAAACAAAATATAGAATTGTTTTGAGTCTTTAAATCTTTATAAATGATGTATTACATGAATGGAACTTGCTCTTTTCACTTAGTATTGGTTTTGAGGTCTAATCATGTTGATACCCAAGCCCGGCACTGTTCCAGGCACTGAGAATACAATAAAAAGGAACAAAATTCTTTCCTGTGGAGCTTCATGCTGGAGATGGGAGGGGAAACAGGGAGGCATATGCGGTATGAACAACCAGTTTATTTAGCCATTCCCCTGTTGGTGGGCATTTGTTAACTATTGCCCGCCATGCTGCAGAGGACATCTCTGTATGTCTCCTTGTACACATGTACTGTGTACACAGTTTGCAAACTTTTCTTAAAGGGCCAGATAGTACATTTTTTAGGCTTGTGAGCCATATGGTCTGTAACAACTACTCACTTTCGTCTTTTTTGAAAGCAGCTATAAACAATATGTAAACAAATTATTTACAAATGCTAGGGTTTCAGTTTCATTGATTTTCCATATTATGAAAGATTTCTTTAGTTTTTTTCCCAATCATTTAAAAATGAAAAACTTATTCTTAACTCAGGATGTATATATCTTGGTCTGGGAGCCTAGTCTGCAATAAATGAGTTACTCCAGAGCCTGTATAAAGATGCTCCAAGCCCCGTGCCAGATGAAAACAGGAAATGTGAGAGGAAGTTGCTGACCAGTCCTGGCCATTGAGAAATACCTGGGAAAGCTTTTCAGAAGCTGGAAGAATGAATAACTAGGAGTCTCTGGAGCCCAGGCCTTTGCCAGAAGATCATTTAGGTCAAACTCAGCCTGTGTGTGTCATGGCCAGTAACTGGCCCTTGCTCTCTCTACCTGGTCTATATAGAATATATATATATATGGCTCAGAAGTCTGGAATGAGCCATTAGCCAAGAAGTATAGCTATCTAAATAGGAAGGTAGTATAATGGAAACCACAGGGGCTTGGGAAGCAAATTCTGCCTGGCTCTGCCTCCAACTGTGATCTTGGGCAAGGCCCTTCCCTTCTCTGTGGCTATCCCTTGTCTATAATGGGAATAATCCACACCCTACCACTTGTTTGATAGGATGAAATGACAAAAGTTTGATGGGGGATGCCTGTCATATAAGAAGTGCCCAATAACTGCCAGCCAACATTCAGATTTTCTCCCTGTGGGATGGGTGGATGCCAGAACACTTCCCAAGATGGCAGCTCACTTCCTCTGGAAGCAGCCCACTCCATCTTCTGACACCTCGGACCATTAGGAAATTCTTTCCTTCTGTTGAGCTGAAAAATGTCTGTGGCCTCCACTCTCTGTCCCACTTCTAGCCCTTGAGACCACACAACAAACCCGTCCTTCTCTTTTCCAGACAAAACCTGTTCTTGAGTCTTTTCACCATTCTGGCTCCCTTTGTTAGAATTAAGTTATTTTTCTGAACCAAACTTCTGACACACTTGGCTGTAGGTGAAAATAAATGTCTGGGTCTAGAACAGGCCCAGTCACATGTGAAGAAGGCCAAACATTGGTTAAGAGATTCTATGGTTAAGAATTTAAGACTCTGGCACAGGGCAGACCTTAGTTCTGCTCCTTGGCAAGTTACTTAAGCTCTCCAAGGTCAGATCCATCTTCTACGAAAGGGAAATGGTTCTAGTCCCCTCCTCAATGACTTATTGAAATAAATGCATTCAATAATGTATAGAGAGTGCATAGCATATGTCTGGGGCAGGCCGCATCCTCTGGAGGTTTTAGCGGGGAGGGGGAAGAGATGTGTTCGTGAATGTGAATCTCCTGTCCCCCACAGTTCTGTTAAACCCAGCCCTCTACTTCATGGAGCTGGGCACACAGCTGAGCTCAATCAGTGCAGCGAGGGGCCAATGTGCTGCCTTGCATGACGAGGGACCAGAAGCAGGATGTGAACAGATCGGCAGGTGACGTCTTTGCCAGCTGTGACCACCAGGGGGCAACCCCGCCCCAGAGATGGCCTCACCCAGTCAGACACCACTTCTCAATAAGATGCATCTGTTCCTTGGCACGTTTGGTTGTAAAGAAGGACAGAAAGTGACAGCCCTGGGTGCGGTCGGTCAGACTACCCTGGGCAGGCCCACAGCCTGTGGAAAACTCTCTGGCCAGAGGCAGTGGCCTGGGATGCAACTGACTCTGCAACCCATGACCTTGGACAAGGCACTTTCTCATCTGGCCCAGGGTTGAAACAGAATCCAAGGTCCACATTGCATGGCTCTAGGACTCGAAGCCAAGGCAGTTCCTTCCTTCTCACCTCAGAGCAGCACATACAATCCGGCTGGCAGTGAACCTGGCCTGGGAAGCCACATGTCCCAGACCCCCAACTCCAAAGCCTTAGGAAACTGGTGGGGGAGGGGTAGTGCAAGAGGAGGTGGAAGGGCAAGGTCAGGTGAACCAAGAGCCTCCAAGGGTCTTGCTTCATTCAGGACAGACATCCGGTTTCCTCTGGTCTCTGCCAGGATTCCAGGGGCTTAAAAAAATGAGTCATGGTGGGGGATTGGGGAGTTCCCAGCTAACGAGTTAGGGACACGAGCCTGGGACGATGCCCATCAAAGTGTGGGGTGGGGACAGAATGAAGACCCTAATGTCCCTATTTCAGATCCCTTGCCCCTCAGGAGGGGACTCAAGAAGGTAGCTTCCTGGGATTTTGGGGTTGTAATGGGGGCAACTAGCTTTTTTCCCCTCTCAGAATTTGGGGGGCTAGGAAGCAGGTAGCTTGATTATCCCAAGGGAGAATGGCAAAGGGGGACTGCCTCACGGATCTGCCAGAAGAGGGAAGGAGGGGCGCCTGGAGGTCTGCCTCTCTCAGATCAGTTTGACCAGACTCCAGCCTCCAAGGCTTTATCAGTGGCTCAGCCTTTGTTCAGAGGTTCTGTTCAAATACCCTGGGGCAATTCAGGCCTGGGTGGGGCTGAGGGGAGGAAGGGAGTATGAAGGGGACAAGACGTCAAAGAAGGATCAGAGATTCCACAATTTCACAAAACTTTCGCAAACAGCTTTTTGTCTCAGCCTCCCCCTGCATTGTCCTGGACACCAAATTTGCATAAATCCTGGGAAGTTATTACTAAGCCTTAGTCGAGCACCAGGTAATTTCCTCCCAGGCCTCCATGGGCTTATGTATAAAGGCCCTCCAGAGCTGGTCCCTGATACAGCCCTGAGCCTGCAGACTCAACCAGACCCTCCACTGAGCTGGCTGCCCCAAGCCCCATGAAGCTGATGGGTGAGTGTCCCAACCTAGGATGGGGGAGTTTCCTGCCTATCTGGGGTATGGGAGGGAGGCTGGAGTGGCTGAGGGGCTGGGAACCCCTAAGCCCCCAGAAAGGTACCCAGATGGGAGTGGACAGTATGTCTCCTGAGACCCCCATCTGCTCCCAGCCCTGCAGTTGCTGCTCTGGCACAGTGTACTTTGGACAGTGCAAGAAGCCACCCCCTTGGGCCCTGCCAGCAACCTGCCCCAGAGCTTCCTGTTCAAGTGCTTAGAGCAAGTGAGGAAGATCCAGGCCGATGGTGTGGTGCTGCAGGAGAGGCTGGTGAGTGACAGAGGCAGGCCGAGAGACAGGGAGGGGACACGGATGCTGTCAAAGGGGGTATAAAGGAGAGAGGACCCAGAGCGGTGGGCAGGGGTGGGGGGTGACAGGGGACACCATCGGTAAGGGACATGGGAGAGGAGAGACACAGGGAAACGGAAGAAAGAAGTGGAGCTGTGGAGGGCTGGGAAGTAACCTGGGGAAGGGAACCTCTTGGGGACAGTGCTGGAGAGTCTGGCTGGGATGCAAGTGGAGCAAGGAATGGGGCTGAGAAGCCTGGCAAGACATGCAAGGAGGAGAAGACCACAGAGAGGGGGAGGAGCATCCTGGCCTTATCAAGTTCCCTGCACTCACGATCCTTCCCGTCCCCAGTGTGCCACCCACAACCTGTGCCACCCTGAGGAGCTGGTGCTGCTTGGACATTCTCTGGGCATTTCCCAGGCTCCCCTGAGCAGCTGCTCCAGCCAGGCCCTGCAGCTGGTAAGTGTCTAGAGGGGAAGAAGGTGGTGAGGGAGAGGGATGATCTAAAAGGCTCCCCTGACCTCCAGGCTCCAGCTGGGGCCCTGAGAGGAGCATCTCAGATGGCATTCCTAACTCTTCTACTACATTGCCTGCAGACGGGCTGCCTGAGACAACTCCACAGCGGCCTCTTCCTCTACCAGGGCTTTCTGCAGGCCCTGGCAGGGATCTCCCCCAAGTTAGCTCCCACCCTGGACATGCTGCATCTGGACATCGCCGACCTTGCCACCAACATCTGGCAGCAGGTGAGCTTCGTTAGGAGCAGTAGTTTTAGAGGCCTATACCGAGCTGGTCCCTAAAGGTCGTGCTGCAAGTCTGGGAGTCCTGGAAGTTCTTTAGGGGGTTCTTCTGGTGGGAGCATTCTCAGGGATGGGCAGGGAGCTGTATGGAGAGACCTACCACCTCATCCCAGGCCCCTCCTGCTGCTGGCCTTCCCCTACAGTTGGGGGCAGGAACCCGATCACTGAACCTCAAAACAGACCCGGTTTCAATTCCTGGCTCCACTGTTCATTGTGTGAACTTCCGCAGCCAGCCCATCAGCCCTTTGCATTTCCTCATCTGCGATAACGCCCACTCTTCAGGGCCTGATTGCTGATCTCATCTATTCCCCCACAGATGGAAGACCTGGGGGTGGCCCCTGCCGTGCAGGCCACCCAGGGCACCATGCCAATCTTCACCTCAGCCTTCCAGCGCCGAGCAGGAGGTGTCCTGGTTGCTGCCAACCTGCAGAGCTTCCTGGAGCTGGCATACCGTGTTCTGCGCTACCTTGCCGAACCCTGAGCAAAAAACCCTCCCCATTCAGTGTATTTATCTCTATTTAATATT